CACGTGACCACACCACCACAATCACTTCAGATCAGCTGATTTCGGAATACAACATGAATAGAAATCAGTGTGAACCAATGAAGAATCCACTATGGATCGTTTACTCCTAGCAGATTACTTCTTGTTCGATCCCTGAAGGTTGTTGTTGGCAATATTTTTCTGCCATCAAGGAGGCTAACTCTGGCCCTTCTTTTCAGCTTCTCGATTGGCACTATTCTGGAAGAGACTCCAACCTTATGTGCGTGGCACTGTTCTTGGACGACACCGTTCTCCTCATCTCCAATCGTTGCTTTGTAAGAGGAGCAGATTTTTAAAACGCAAAAATTTTGCTAATGGGCTCGGTCGGCAAAATCCTGGCTCTCTGAATGACTGGCTATCTATTGGTGACTGTTTACAAGTTCACCTATTTTGGAATTGCTTTGTGCTCCTGTTCTCAGATTGTAAGCAAGCTAGCCAATCCACGTCTGCAGAATACTCTTTTGATCTCATCATCGTTTTCATCCACCAGGACTGTGGATCAGTTAAACATTGCAAAGATATCCATCTAATGAAAGTCCCGTTGAAAGATGTAGTGTAGCTTGTCTGGTTAGTGTTCCCCAGAATTCGAGGGAGTTACTAAAGTACTCAGTGTTGACTGAGAAGCATTTGTGAGACACTCAACGATGAGGTTTCGGAGCTTTGAACTTTTTGGTCACACTAGCTAGCCAGGTTGTCGAATGTCTTTGGTCTGGATGGGAAGCAGTTCGTAGCAGTCGGCTGAGCGCCCAGTTTCTGTGTTTATTCCCCTCTGTTGCTATCTGCTTGAAGACATCTTTAGTAGAATAATGTGCTACAGCCACTAACGAGCTTGGTTTCTTAAAGTGATCCTAAACAGGCCAATCTCAGCCCCTACAACCCAAAGCAGTGAAACCATCGCCTTTATTGTCACTGCGGTTTGATTTTCACATTTAGCCGTGACTTCCAGAACAGCAAGGAACATATATCAAAGGAAAACTACATTAGTGTGAACAATGATGGGAGGTAAGACGATAAGTGAGTGTGAACCCACTTAACTTATGTGATGCAATAGTTTCCATTTGGTGTAATAATTGTTGTACTGTAGCCACCTTCTGGACACACAGAGAAAACTTAGGGGTCAAAATCATCAGAAATCCACATTCTTTCCTCCTTTCCAGAGGCTACGGGGATTTCGGTCACTCGTGGACTAGACGGTATTGGATGAAGGTGAAAAATGACCTCCAAGGATTGGATTGAAAGCAGTGAAAGTCATGAGACAAGATGTTCGATTGCAGCTCATATTAACGCATAAATGATAAGTTGGAACTGAGTGAAAGGTGACCTTACCGGAACAGCTTCTGAGTTGCGACCGAACTTGTTATGACGCTGTCCATAGGCTCCGTCATCTTGCATTTGGTTGCGCATAAAGGTTGTATACATGAAATATCTTATTTAAGTGGGTGTAAACCGAGGTCAATATTAGATTGGAGCCAACGTGGTTCGTGTCTTAACGAGTGGTAGAAAACCAATCAAGGCGACTAATTACGGGGCAACTAATAAGTACTTATTAGTTCGAAACATAAGATACTTAAGAGCAGATTAATAAAAATGACCACAATCAGGAAGATGAGTGTATCTGAAGTTGATGCAGTGAAATATCGTTGCGGATTCTGGGCTTTAACGTTTTACTCATAATCGGAATAAGAACTTAGTTGCTCGTCAGCTGACCATGAAAACTGATCTGTTAATTATTACTTGGCATTGATCCAATGAAGTCACATAAGAAGGTTTTATATTTAAACTGAACGTTTTTTGAAGAAGAAATAGAGCATTCATTTGCTGCTCACAGTTAAACTTTCTTTGGAGGTAGTGGTCCCCTCAACCTCACGAAAAAAGTTTGTCCTAGAAAAATAGATACGCAGATAATGTAGTCTTTAGTGGTGCAGTCATAAAGCTTACTTTTTGCCGCTAGTAGTTTTGTGCATCTGTATGTTTACTTACACCTACCCAACATCGGTCATTTGGCAACCGGATCAGGTTGGTCGGGTCACAGTACTCATAGGTCCGAAGGCGTAAGGGTGTCGGTAGCGACTTGATAGCAACAACCCTTGTTGACATTGCACTCTTTTCGTTTTACATCATCCAATAATCTGATCAACCAACTCGCACTTATTCCCTATGCCTGTCAGAACACGTGAACTGAACTCGACAAATATATTGGTTTGCTCTAGTGTCTCAGATGTATATGGTCTGACGTCTTTTGAGGAGAGGGCGACCGAAGTTTGGCTGATAATAATTGATGATTGTGGTTTCCTGTGGGCTCGGTGGTTTGTCCAAATGACCGAAAATCGGCGGATTTGTCCTTAAATGGCAAGGTATCTTCACAGTGACTCATCCTCTCGTTGCTTACAAGTTAGCTGGCAGCTCAAGACAGCAAGAAAAATTAGAATCGTCGTAATATTGTTACGATTAGAAGAGGTTAAACCCTGTCAGAAGGAACAAAAATCCAGTTTTCAATGCGGTTAGGCTGAAATATTTCAGTATAAGAAATGGCCAAACACGCGAATAAGCGTATTCAGATTCTGGTGATATAAATCCGCAATGCATTTTAACCCTATCTTCACCCTTCAAGTATATACCAATAATTTATGACTTCCCGGGCCGAACTTGGCTCGGATCTTGTTAAACCGATCCAGCACAATGTGGAAAGTTTTGAGTCAGAATACGGTGCAGGAGAATAAGATGCTATAATCTGACATTTCGGGTACCATGGACAACTTTTTTAAAGAATTTCTAGAATCATTTGAATACGGGTCTACTATCATGTCTTCTGATTGTTGTGTTCCTGAGGTCAATTGGTATTTACATGCGATCAGCGTGTGTATGTGTGTGTGGGATTCGTATGCTTCTAAGCCTCACTTATTTCACCTTTTGAAGCATAATGTGTAGACAAACTGAGGATATCGTTATGAGCTCTCTAGCATCACCAACAGCAGTTAAGCTCTTATTGTATGGATTTGGAACTGAAGTCTTACATATCTTCGCCAGTCCATCATGTACTTGACTGAGATATGTTGACGACACACTTGCTATCAAATCAGCCACACAACGGCATGCATTCCTAAACTGCTTGAAAGAACAATGCAGTAGAACAAAATTCAAGAACAGGGGACTATTAGTTTCCTGGCAATACCAACAGTGGATTCTCATTGTGAATCCACCGAAAACCCACACAGAGAGGCATGTACTTGCATTACTATTCTTTGAATTCACACTGTGTTAAACGTGCAACTGTCTGTTTATTGGTAAACCGCGTCAAGAAAGGATACTTGGATGACTCCGTATGAGCACATGAACTGGAACGACTCAGTAGGGTAAAACAGTAAAACAAATACCCCATAGGGCTCATTGCCACACAAATGGGGCAAACGCTAAGTGGAACGGTGCGATTGGGAAACGAAAATCCGGTGGTCGTCGTGAGAATACCAGATGGGAATGACACTTCAAAGGTCATTTGAAGGATGTTTCGAGATTATGATAATAACACAACCTACCAAACTGATAACACCTTACAACGACACCTCTCAAAGGCTGAACACCCTACCGTAACCCAAATCACATAAACTGCGTCTACCTAATTCCTTGTGCGAACGTCCAGCCAAATTCATAGTCCAGAACACAAACGATGTGTATTTTTCTCCACGGAATCCAATAGAGTTTTAAAAAATTGGAGCGTAACTCAGACATTGCACTCCACGCACCTGAGTCAAGCCATCAATTCAACATGTGTATTCCAGTCAGGGTTCAGGTCATGTTTGGAACGGGCATGTGTTGAAGCACTAGAGGTCAACACAACGGAACTGCATCAACACAACAGTGATGGAGCCAGGAGCCCGTCTATCACCCTAGTGGAGTCATACTAAGCAGGAATTTTAACAATGACGCGTCACATCCAGCACAACATACGAAGCCACATCCCAATCAAAGTACACACAATAAACTTTACACATACATATGCTGGTCGCATCTGACTGCCAACTAATCTCAGGAACACACCAATCAGATGTGATAGCGGACCCAAGCAAAGCTGAAGTCGACTCGTGTTCAAGTGAGTGTAGAAATCCTTGAAGAATTCGGACGTCGGACTATGACACTATATTGTGTTTTGACCGTAAACTTTCCACACAATAAGCAATCATGACCAAGGTACATGGCGACGACAAAATGAGACACATCATCTAGTTTTGAACTTGATGACTCCAACCAGTACCAGTTATCAGATCGTGTGGGCCTCGCGTAGCTGCGAGCTCTAACTAGGAATCGGGTTACTGCCAGCACCCTGAGGTTCTGATAGAATGTAGTTAAATAGGATTATTGATAGCTGATAGAACACGTTGACAAGAATTTCAATCCGATTTCCGGTTAACTGTGTGTGCTCCCCGTACAGCAACAAAAGAAGTGCCGTAACTCTTCATGCCCAGCTTTTAGTTCTCCAATGCATCTACTCTTGGGGCTTAGGAAGTCCAAATTCTACAATTCAATGTTAGAGGATTTGCCACGGGGTCATAAACACATTTAAAATCGAAGACCTCGTTTCTGAGATGACGAATTTCCTTGTTTTGTTTGTATTAAAAAAAAGTAGATATTCCAGATTTAATGAATTACAAAAAGCGCGAGTACTGGTCGGTTTGAATGCAAGCTGGTGCATCGTGTCAGCAACCCCTACGTGGTAAAATAGCCTGAGCTTTCACATCGTCGACCATATGCAGGAGCGAAGACAAACAGGCGCAGAAAACACATGTTGGTACACCCACGTGAAATCAACTGCAACGGCTGCTGTCTCGGATCAAGATGTTATGACTAACACACTAACATGTCATTACACACTCTCTATATATCGACCAGAGCAAGCAAGCGGTTTTCTGATTGGCTCAGCCAGTGTAACGGACAACCAGTCCATGTTTGAAGTCAAACTAACAGCTCTCATTCTGGTGGACGGACTGCGATGCTCTAGTGAGGATTGGTAAGCCAATTTGATTCGTCACTCCTTTGAACCTTAGGCACTATCACATTGGGCGAATTTTTTTCTCAGGCAGGCATAATATCTCATTAGTTTTTTATGTATCGATTGGCCAAGCTGATAGTGCTTTCCGTCGGTACTTTGTTTAACACGCTGGAAAACTTTGAACACAGATCGATTGTAATCGATTACAATCGATCTGCGTAGGTCTACGGAATTTTTACCGTTTTCATTTTCATTTTACAGACGGAACCATGTATGTATACATATTCCCACATAAGTTAGCATTCCAGGGCACAGAAACTATTTATACTCTCGAGACATTCTTTGGGAATTTGTCTCAAAATGAAACCAAATTCTACCAGAGATAAGAGAACATCGCTTTGATGCCGATACAGAGCTGCGCATGCATTTTACAGACGCAGTTCATGCAGTCCATGCTTTTTAGGTCCTATGCCGTAGAATTAAAGTGTATATATTTCATTACGAGGAAGTTCACATTGTGAAGTTGTCGCATTGTGAAAGCGTTCCCTTGGAGGTGTGAATGTGGTAATTGCCGAGCTATTTCCTAGTTAGTGGTTCCTTATGAGGAAGGCGTCTAGCGATCACTTCCATGTTCCTTCAAGCAACTTTGCTTGGTACGTCTAGTACATTCATGCTCGCTAAATCACGCGACTCCTTTGTTCTGCAAATACACAAATCACAGATTTGTATATTTGCGAGATGGCCCAAGTGGTTAGAGCGCGAATTTACTGACCGGAAGGTTCGTGGTTCGAATCCAACCTCCGCCACTCGATCGTGGTTCGATCCAACCTCCGCCACTCGACTTCCCTGTCTAGGCTTGGGCAACCTGGCAGTATCCCAGCCCTCGTGCTTCCTTCAGGTGGCATGGCAGCTAGGCACCGGAAAGGTGCTACAACTGAACGCTTTTGAACACAAATCACGTGACAAAACCCTGTCCCGCTCGCCACGTAGACCAACAAGTCAGTTCCTGTTTTGTACGCCTCTGAACAATGCTATGTATCATACACACGTCAAATCATTCCATACATCGGATGACACAACACAGTCACCACATACTCGCGCGCACAGGGGGAAGGGGGGTCCGCGGACAATTACGGAACACGTGTAGCAGCTACACTGCAGTTATGCTCCAGACTTCGCCATTCTGCCTCGGTCTTCACTTCCGATCAGATGGGCAGCTACCACTGACCGCTTCACGTAAGGTACCATTGCGCTCTTATTTCATTTGATGAACTGTTTTAAGCATTCCTGGCGACTAAAGTCGATTTCTGTGTGGTGCCTGGTCGTTATGATGAAATAACGAGTCCCGAGCCTGGCACTGCTATTGGTTAGCACGCCATCCACTCATCTATCGCCTGATCGCATGGTATGGTCCGTAGAATCCCGTAGTTAAAACAGTGACGAGTAAGATAAGCTGGTCTGTTGTGTTTGGATAAAATCCCCTTTGTATTTCATGTATTTTTTGACTGGATCGTTCAGCACAGGATACAAAATGTCAGGAGTGCGAACTAGTTTAATATTCGGAGGGACTCCAAAGTAAGTATTCACTCGGTCCCATCGAGTTTCTTTGAAACAGAAGACTTAGCATCTGGAACTGTCTTATACTAACTAACGACATCAAGGGTTCTCAGACTATGATGTAATTCAGTTCCTAATGATTCTAAGGAAGAAAGGTGATTCTAATGGTGAAGCTTTTGTTCTTTAGGATATCAGAGAACGCCTCACCTCTTTTATAGCTGGCACATCCACATCATGTTGGGCACTTTAGTCTCACGTTTTGCTGTTTTTCATGTGGGCGTGCTGTTCAAGACAGTTTGCTGTCGCTGGCACTGTACTGTGGGCGATATTCTTTGTTGCAATATCTACCTCTTTACTTGTTTTTGTCAAAACTACGCATATTTGTGGTGGCTATTGTGAATGTCGGTTTTGCATGTCAGCATACAGTTGTACTGACTCTAAATTCAAAGCTATCACACTCAAACACACATGGTACGTTAGCAATCCGTTTCGGACTTGCTTATGACATGGCTCTACGCGGATGAATCCTTCACACACCGCCGCATGCGGTTTCTGATAAGCAGAGTGTACAGCCAGCTAAAAAGCTCAGTTCAAACCCGAGAGAATAGTAGTGGATGTTGAGTGGACGTTGAGTTTTCAAGCCATGAACATTCCCAACCAATGGCGCATGATTGTCAAATCATGTGGGATAAACCAATCCATCGAAACACAGGGTGTGTACATGGTGTAGTCCGCACCAACGATAACCAACACCCAAGACACATAAACATGCCTGACCATTGCTAGCTGGTATTCATTCAGTGTGCTCAGTTCAGTGGAGGATACAGAAATTCATTTCCAACACCACTGTAGGTTTAACACTTCAGTGTTCAGAGCGTTAAGATGAGTCGTCCAGAGATCTCTATGTTAAACACACTAAATTTAGTATAATGAAATATACGGTACAATTAACAACAGGGCACACACTAAATGAACGCAAGCTCCCAACAACAAAAAAACAACCAGTATTAGGGGCTAGAAACAGAAAACCGCACAAGGTTCTTTTGGGCTTGGGCGGTGGTACCTCCCCACATGACAACAACAGGTGTATATTATCCGCCCTCGCATGCATACACGTTTCACCACATATTCCTATGCATCCTACCTTTTCCAGTCAATCGGGGCAAGGTTAGGCATTTTGGTGGTTTACTGTTACCACCAGGATTAACGGCGGTAAAACTTACAACCCCTATACGATTGACTGCGGTCAATTTTGACTGCAACATACTCTAGCAATAAAGTGACAACATCGTGTTACATAATGTTCTGTGGAGAATTTCCGTCGTGTAAGTGAAGAGTTGAGAAGCGCCGTACAACTGTTTCATTTTTATTGGGAAGCATCAACAGCTCGCATGTAACGAAGCTGAAGTAATGAATTTACAATTCGCTACCTTCGTGCTAGTAGTTCGAATACCTAACCATTCGGTGATAAGCGATCGATCAGCAGTGTGATTAACTTGCACTTAGACAGAACGTGGTGGCACTCATCCTCCAATCACGGAATCCACATCACGTGGTCACTTATTGCATGTCCCCGGTCCCTCTAATGACAACTCCTCAGGTTTGACTGAACTGAACTAGATTTGGGTTTACTATTTTCGCAGATGGATTTGAACTTTAACGACCACCAGCGATCAATAATTAGTTCAAAGCAAGAAAATTTCACAAGGCTAATGAAACTTCCATCCGAGAAGTCGTCAATCCAGGATCCAGTCAACAATTGACCACGTGATGTGGATTTCGTGATTGAAGGGTGAGCGGTAGAATGCTGAAGATACTCACCAGGGAGAATGCAGAGAATTGAAAAAAATGGTTTCGATACTTCCGTGCATTCAGCCAACAGCGTGATTCCTATGGTCCATCGGGTCCTGAAATTAGGCCAATCCATGTCTGCGACGAAATATAGTAATGGTGTTCGACGTAGGGAACAGATACGCACGGAGTTTTATACATGTCAACTCCCAGATATTTCAGTGCTAAAGAAATTCCATCACATTCACCAAGGATAGTTTAACTGTAATTGTCGAAGCGGTCACCTGTGCATAAGTGATACTGTTCCCATGTGCTAGGGAAGAAATTTCACTGAAGTACCAAAAAACAAAGGACCGCTTCAAGTCAGCTGTGCACAGTATGCCATTTACAAATATGAAGTTAATCTGCAGATGTTACAAGCCATACACTGTACTTTGGAAGCCTAATTTGTTGCACGTTTTCACCAGTATTCACAATGTGCTTGCAAACCTGATGTGCTTTACGATCGTTCGCTTTGGTGAACCCGCCTTCCCTGTTGTTATGCGAACTAGAACAGAATTACAAAAACATTATCCTACGCCATGGAACGCACACAGCGTATCACATTGCATCGGTGGTCACTAAGATCTGTTCAGAACTGTGTAACAGCCCCTTGGCAATAGCATTTTGTTCCTGTGTCTTGTGACGATTGGCTAAGATGAAGGGACAGCTAGTGAGACCAGTTGAATCGTTCAGCTGTAACACCCTTTCGGTGCTTGGCTTTCATTGTACCCGAAGGAAGTACGGGGGCTGAGATACTGCCAGAACGTCCAAGCCCAGACGATGGCAGTTGAGGAGCAGAGGTTGGGTTCGAATCACTGACCTTCCGGTTAGGAAGTTTGTGCTTCAGCAGTGAACAAGTCATATTATCTAGATACTCGGAACCCAGCTCGCAACGTTGCTCAGGAGATCAATGAATTCGATTTTCACGCTCCGGAACGTACATTTTGCTTCGTGCTCTCTCTCTGTTCGACTTCTTGCTATGACTGACCTATGACCTCAAATGGAAAAGCATTACGCAAAGTCGCATAATAACCCGGACTGGTCGATCGGTCGGAACGCATGGTGAATTTGTTTTCCCCATGCTTCAGGGCCTATAATCGAAAAACACGAACTGTCTGATACCCCAAAAGGCCTCAGTAAATTGAAGCAGATGACCAGACATGTTCGAAGCTACGTGAAACTGTTCAACTCTCTTTTATGTGCGCACCTATGTTGAACGACCTATATGTATTTTCTGTTGGGTTATGTGCGCGCCACATTGACCGCCAGTCTGGCGGACCTAGCGTTTCAAGATATGAGGTGGTGTCCAGATGGCTGAGTGCACTTGCTTTGGAAGGTATTCAACCGACTGTGTCTAACGTATGCGACCCAAGAGAGACCAAAGCCGTAATAGAATTTCGAAGCGCTTTCAACAACCTAAGTAGTGGTGTGATCTGTCAAGAAAATACGATGCGATATCTCGAATGTCGTATTGACTGAAACATGAGGCAGACTTTGTACAGTACAATCACTTAAAAATATTATAAACAGGCGATTCATTTTAGCCTCTTGTTGGTGAAATTGAAAATGAGTGCAATCCGCGCACAATCCCTTTAGTTTTATATCGGCGTCTATGACCTTTGTGTGACCCGTCTTTGAGGAAACCCAGTTCTTATTCTTGACAGTACAGTAAGTTGAGACGATATACGTATTTTTAAAGAAGAGTTTCTGTGATTAGCTGATAACACGTGACGTTACGATAGGAAAGATAAGCGATACTTTGGTCTCAGGAAAGAAGTTATCCTGCTCCCCATAACGGCAAAATATTCTCCAGTGAGATAAGCATCGATTTATGTATGAACCAATCATCACCTTCCTCAAAGCTAAATGATCGATTGGGGTTCTACTAAACGTCCTCGCCCGTCACGCTTTTGGGGAACGCTCTGCTAACCCGTGAGTTTGAGCACTTTTTAGGTCTACCACTTACCTGTGAAAGATATTTAACTTTTGTTTTAGTTCCAGTTCTGATTACTTATTGAATGAGGCATGTCAGTTGTTACGACCATCCCAACAGAGTCAAAAACCTCTGGAACCGGTGCCGAACAGGCAGTCGACCTTTGCCAGCTGATTAACGAGGCCACATCGGAAAATACGGAGCGCAATTCAGGTCGGAACTCCTACTTTTGGTCATCTAAAGGACGGCCATGTAAGTGTTGATCTGGCTTGGTGCTTTGGATCAATTAGTTCACCTTGTTCTGTTTTGTAATTTCAGGGCAGAGCAAAGTTTTGTATTCCACTGCCACATAAAAGATAGTGTCTTTGCTTCCCGATGAGCGATAAACCTATTAGTTCAACCAAAACAGAAGAAAAAATTGTGGGGATTCGACAGAATTTAACATGTGGGGTATCGCGCATTTTCTTTATTGTCTGATAGGACAATTGGACGATTTCAGAGTACTTTAAAACTAGCTTCCGAAGAATATTCAGTAATCTAGATTGAAAATAGTTTGTATTCGGACAAACTATAGTGTGGTCTTCGATTGGAGATACTCTGAACAGTCTGAGAGGGCTTGATTGAAATGAACATCAGTGAATTACCAAAAATCAGTCTGTTCAGGTACTCATTGACTTTTGAGAGGTGGTACTGTCAGAGCACAACATCGTCCAACTGTTGCACCCTTTCAGTAAACAGGTACCACATCACCTTAAGGAATTGCGAGGGTGAACTTCTGCCATGCTGAGCATACTTAATCATGAGAGGGAGATACGAATGACCTTCGTTTTGACGCATCATGTCTCTGGAGCTCAATTTCAACTCAACTGGCACAGAAAAAAACAGTACCTGCTTGAAATAAGAATAGTAAAATCCAATTTCAGTTCTGAAGGTCATCTTGCATTCACGGCTAGACATGTCTGAAAAAAAAAACGAACTGCTTTATTGTAGCAAGTTGGTATGCACATAGTGTAGGAAGCCAGGAAGCGACAAGGGTTATCAAAGTCACGCTTACTGTCCGAAGCCTTCAGCGAGTTCGGATCGATCGGAGACTACAAGGAATTCTCTCTGCGTCCCGACCCATTGGAATACAACCAACACAGCTTATGCTTAAATAGAAAAACAAAATCCTAACATACGGTGTATCGGGTTCCAATGAACTTAAATCAGAGGAGGATACTTTCAGCAATATCCTGCTTCAGCCTTGGATTTGCAGCCCAAATTCACTCATTCTAAACCACAGCAAAAAATCGCAAGATGCGAAATGGTTCTTGTTTCTCAAACGATCAAACTTGGTCGAATGAACACCTAAGTATGAGCAAACTCCTGGCTCGGGGAATCAGAACAACAACGATAAAGTTAGAGAAAATCTGGGCGCCACACGCAGTAATGGAAACACTCCTCATAACTGATGGGATCGTTTGATTTTTCCACGTATTGGTGTGTTTGCCACAAAATCCCTGAATAACAGCACTTGGTACACAGATCCACGAAGCACATAATCCCCGTGATTCACTCTCCGCCACCAAGACAATGTCGTGTAAATGACTCAGGATGGAATGCAAACTAGAAACGATACTGGAACAGTGATATTCACAGGGACGCTGGTGTAGTGTTACCTTCCTGAACGGAGTTCACGAGGACCGGATACCTTGTTGTCGAATGCCATCACTAGGATCGCGATTTCCTTGATTAGACGCTTAGTCTCTACGTTTTTATGGCAGTGAAACAAAACAGTGTACAACCACATAATCGGTGTGTTGCCGTCGAAAGGTTTGTGGTTGTTGGATTGCGCATTGCTTAAAAACATCGTAAACAACAGATTCAGCTGGATTCCGGGTGAGTCTCTCGTCAAAACCAAATTAGTATAAAAATGAGTCTATTTCGCCAATTTTGTGCAATTTGGGTTCAGGTAGAGCATAAAGTTGACGGAAATTTGGGGATTGCGCCTACCTGGGGAGGCCCAAGAAGGGGAAAACCGGTCGTGGGCTGTCGAAGAGTTTTCAGCATTTTTAGGAGTGGTGTATTGCGTCTAGACTTCTGTCTTTATTTTGACCAGTTCATCTGTTTTTCTGTTCATCTATGTCGTTCCACACGTATCGCTGTTATGCGCAGTGTACACAGGCACTTGGTGTCACAGGCAGACTGAACCCGCTGACTGACTTCAATCATCTCATCATCCGCTGTTGTAATTTTCAGTTTTAAGTGATCCACTGACAAGCGGTCTATCCCTGCAATGTTGCGTTCTACGTACGGGGCTTAAGATATTTCGATATTTTACCAGACGCCCGTTCAAACGTCTGCTCCGAATCAGTTCTAATTTGATCCTGTTCTTCGTCATATATTCGATGGTTGGCATGCTTGGAAGGCAACGTTTACTGACTGCCATTTCGCTCTACAAGTTTTCAGTACTTTAGTTAAACTTATTGAACAACACAGCCCGGAAGGACTTCATCCAGAGGAAACGGGGGAACCAAAGATTGTCTGAAGCCATGAATATCTGCGAACAGCCAACCATAAGGGAGGCCTTACCGGTAAGGGGATAAACAATGGGAGCTGCGGTTGAATACCTATGATGCCAGATACAAGTTGCGGACTGGGTCGAACTCTTTCTGATACCTTGGACACTTTCGTTTTACGGATTCTGTTCCGTCCGTCTGTCCACGTGAATATAAGGTCATCACACAAACGAAAGTTGAATCAGCAGCCAATGTCTAGTGCCACAGATCATAAGGTCAAGTACCTCCTATTGACGCGATCCGCTGGACGCAAAATAAGAGGGAGTGTCAGTCCTGTAATTAAATTTTGATTTGTATCTCCTGTTCGGTCAGACGAATGCTGAATCCTGTGTTCTGGGACTTCGAAAAAATTCTTGCCGAGTAATCATCGCGGTATACATATTCAGCATACTCGGATAGCTTGTACGAGATTTGGAGAACATACGGCTTGCAGATGATGATGACCTGTGCCCGTAGGTCAAGTTTTGTGGTAAACTGAAGCAGAGTTTTTCACTGAAAATGGCGAAACATACCGGGTTTATTATAGCCGGCTCCGGGAGGTTACCAGATAGTTTATGGCTAGTGATTTACATGGTGAGCAGCCCATCATAACACTTACCATCGAGTCCCAACTTAGGTGAAGGAGGCTGCTGGTGGTTTCGCAATATAGCAATATAGCTGACGCTTATGATTAATATTCGGCTATGGGTCCATGAGGCCTAATCAACTAGTTAGATGTAATCCACGTCAATCATAGCGGACAGCTGAACAGACCGAGCTGACGCCCACGACTAACATGCAGCTAGGGTAGCACGCGCTTTACAGTTGTTTCATCCTCATTTGGAATCATCAGCAGTAAGCGTTTCACGAAAGTGAAGCGGCTTCATTTACATGGTAAAATCTCCACTAAGAAAGTAACTACACTTGTTGCTGCTGAGACTTGGTTGAGTGGTCATTTTGAACGGTCAGCTTGAAGACGACTTCAAGAATGCATTCGAAAAGCCATCGTAGGACGCCTATGCGCACGCAGTTTCTCGGACCCCTGATGGAGTGTGGTCCACACAACCTCTTACTGGACGCAGGTCTGTTTGCTGTCCCCGGATCATGTTTTCACGTTTTCACGTGAAACAAGCGACGGACAGTCTAGTTACGACGGAGATAAAACTGATTCCTCTGTGATTTCCATGATCACGTCGAGCACCTTCAGCGAAAATGGTCACTGCTATCGACACATTCAAGTTCACTGAGGCAGTCTCTTTCACCCAGTTAGGGGCAGACACGTTAAACAGCACTGAACGGATTTCACTTTCATCCTCATCCATTAGGATCAGCAGCTTGGGGGGCACTTGATCGAGGAAAGTGATTCATCTGTGTCTATGTTCCCTACCCATGTTCCTTATTGTTGAAAGTGTTCGACCCAGCGATTCAGGCGTTCTTCTTTCTTAGAGATGGGTGAGCTAATTTTTATTGCTGGCTGTTTCGCTTACCGAAGGCTTTGGGCCTGTTGCGTACATCTGTTGGGATAGCCTCTGAACATTCTCGAAGTTTCTCGCTCCCTCCGTCTGTTCAGCTTTGTGGACCCAGCAGGCTTCTCGATCGGGACAGATGTTATCCTTCACGTGACACCTGACAATCGTCTAGCTGTACGCTATCTACGACTAGCCTAAACGCGTGTCCGATCTTTGAGTAGATATAGTTTTTAGGTGTTCAGCCGTTCCACAAGGAAAGCGTCCAACATGCTACAGAGATTCTGATAGTACCTTCCAGTAAGAGTCAGCATCAGAAGACGGACTATCATAAAAAAGTCTCCAGTACACGGTTTTGATAGGTTTGTTTCACACTCGGTTCAGAGGGCTTCTCAAAAGCCAGGTATCTTGAACGCCCGCGCAAAGCTCAAGGAAACACAGTAAGGGACAAGCGTGCTGCCAGAATGCATACACGTGTTTCAGACAGAACAGAAATTGGCAGCTGATTCATGCAATTTAAAGCGGAGGCGGTGATGTCTACCTGCGAGAGTGGGTCTCATGTCGGGGACACTAAGTGCCCAGAGAAAGTCTGTGGTCAGCATGTAACTGCGGCAGACACTCGCTTCCATCCGTACTTTTGGATTGCATTCCAATATGATAACGTAATTGAGTGCCAGAGGCTCTCGGTCTGCCTGCATACGTGTTCATGTCTCCTGCACCCACAGTGGCATCTTGAGCTCCTAAGCAGCGTAATAAACCAGTTAAAGTGCCGTAAAACTGTTGACTGTGAGGTAAGCAGATTCAAGGAAGATTCCTTCAGGTGGTGTGGTAACTAAGCACCGGAAGGGTATTACATATGAACGCTTATTAATATTACAGTCATAACTATTGTTCTTAAGCAGATGCAACGAACAAACAGCGATGGTCGACGTATTTATGGGATGCTTTCACAGACGTCTCCAAACTAACCGCTCACAGGTGACTACCAACAGACCTGTATTCAAGCGACGATCTTTAAGCCCGATGGGATAAAACAATATTCATCCCAACATAGCCGTTCACGGCGGCTTCTGGTTTTTCGAATCCTTGTTCCACAGAGACAACATACATAGGAAGCGAGTTCAGCGTACATGAAAACCTGTAGTTCAGCTTGCTACAGAGTGTGGACGGTAAAGTCCACCAACTGAACCGAAAATCGGGATTTGAAGCAAGATTTCGAAGTGCCTACGACTGTGGCTGCCGAGTTAAACCTATATATTGCAGCTCACGAAAACGACCGGTGTACGGGTCCGTCAGTCCTTAAGGGCAGGCCCACGGAAATGTCGTTGGTAGCTGACTGAGGAATGGCCAAGTGAAAGAAAAGGAAGGGAGGTGTTAGCAGTAGCTTTTTGTCACTCACCCACTCTGCCGTTTGCAGCAAAACTAGTACCACATGATGGCTGGTAGGGCATGCGGTTATTTGTTGTTGTGCGTTTCGTGGTTCTCTGTGGGATGGGGTTCTGTTAAATCACCCAGGCCCAGATAAGCAGATTACTGTCCTCAACCCAAACCACCGCACAGCGCTGAGGGCCGATCTCTTACGCCCCATGTAGTGCGATCAGTCATAGTTTGGTCACCTTTGTGAATTTCACTTTTTCCCTTGATGTTGAACCGTCAGCTCAGTAAGGTTCTCAGAAGATACCTCACTCCTGGAAACGTTTGCGCAATACTCTAGGACAGTCCCGAAAAACATAAATGATTCATTTATTCCACCCTCTGAAAATTAATCAGTTTGTATATTCAGAAAACGTAGAAAAGTCGCCTGTTCGTATAGCTACACAGATCAAACACCATCTCTATATGTTATTCTTTCTGTTCATAACGTAGCCTTTGTGGAAAGACATGGTTCATTTTTCACCACTGGACAAGCCCTTCCTGACTGGTTGCAAAGAGACTTTGAACAGTTGTTTGAATCGGGTAGTAAACTTGAAGAAATTTGCCGGATACTACCTATATCCCGAAGATATGCTAGGAAACTAGTCCAACGGTAGGTTGTTTGTGACGCTTGTTACAGCTGTTCTCTTTGCTTATGTTTCCTAGGATTCAGTAAACACCTCTTTCATTTTACTATCGCTGACCCGTTGTTATTGTTGTTGTTGGCTGTCGTCTTCAACTTAGAAGATTGTATGTATGTGGTTGTTTTTTTATTCTGTTTTCGTAACTGAACAAATTTTGGAGCGTTTTGGCAGACACCCGGGCATTTTGCCGGGTGCTTTACTTCAATGCGCGCTCGCTGAACTGTAGTGTGACAGATGAGGTGAATGCACGAATCTGCAAGGCTCGAGCCGCGTTTGCTTACTTGGGACACCTATGGCGTCAGAATGGTTTATCCCCGAATCTGAAGGGACGTGTGCATCAAGCTACAGTACGGGCTGTTTTGTTGTATGGCTGTGAGACTTGGCCTGTTCGAGCAGCGGACCTGAGACGTCTTCAGGTGTTCGACAATCGTTGTCTCAGAACCATAGCTCG